AATTTTTTCCAAGCTTCTCACTTGCTCATTTAACTAGCATGTCTTCACGTTCCCTCATTCGCTTTGATTCCTCTAGTTTGTTTTCCCAAGAGCACTTAGTATTTCCCTGTGACTTGGTTTCCATCTCATTGTCTGACATTTGTTTATTGCCTTTCCTTATTTCTATGAAGGCCTCAACTTTCTCTATCATTCTCCTCCCCAAGCCTGGCCACGTGCTTCAGGGGATGTTGACTTTATGTTCATCTCTAAGGACTAATACTGAGTATTATTTTAAGCAAATTAACCCCAGACCTTTGCCACCAGTTGTGAACTAGTCTGGTCAAGAAAACACTACTGGAATTCCAGCAAAGGTGGCTGGGAAATGTTTCCCTATACCCAAGAAAATAGGGTAGGGAAAGGCTGAGCATGCCAGTGTTTTTGTTGTGGGTGTTGAGGGAAATTACAAGATGCTAACTTCTCTTCTTGGCCCTTGCCTTGACTATGCATGGCCTTATTCCCGTCAATGTGGCATTGTTGACAGTTATTCAGATAGACCACGGTGCCACTCTCCACCAAGACTTTGCCCGAGCAGTTCTCTCTGCCTCAGATGGCCTATTGTTTGTCCTTGGAGGTTCAGCTCAGCTTTCTTCAGGACTCTGTGTTTGAATCCCCTGGACCCCATCTGGGGCACTCATGTGCTTAGTGTTCCACCTTCACTCTAAGTATGCCACACTGAATGCTATGTGGTACTCTCGGTACTATCGAGCATCCTGCCTCTCTTTCCCTGATGGATTACAAGCTCTTAGAAGATAAAGAGTGAACCACATTTGATCCTTCTCAGTCTCCTGGTACGTGAAAGATTGGTAGCAGGAGAATACCAACATAATTGTGCTTAAATTTCTCACCAGAGTTATTTTCCAAGTGCTAGATGTGTTTGGATGATTTTGCTAGTGACCCCTCCACATGTTCCTTGCATTGTCTACGTGCCTGCCGTACTTTCTCATCATATATCATTGACAGTGCTTCACGTCACGTGCTCAAAAGCCGACAAACTCTTCTTTAACTGTGATTCCATATATGCTGTGAGAATTCTTTTCCGGATTGCCTAGACATTCTCACAAACTCCTACAGCCACATTTAGCTGTGATGAATGCTAAATAATTGGCCGACAGCATAACTATAGTAGGGTGACAAGGGCCTCAGTAGCTGTGTAATGGGAGCATAGGAGAGAGCCTGGTCACCTTGGAGCGCTCTGCAAGAAGGGCTCACTGTGAGCAAAGCTACTGTTCCTGCTGGCACGGTCCAGGGTTTTGCATACACACTGCAAGGACTAGACCAACGAATCACAACCCCACCTGACTGTGGGATCAATTAAAACTAGGTAGAGACTTTTGTATTTATTTTCTGAGTGTTTTAAGAGCAAAACCAAGGCCCAGGATATCGGAGTGTCAGTTTTACTATTCATAAAATGTCTGTAGACCACTGATCTGTAGTTTACAAAATAGTAAACATATTTTTTAAATAATGAAAATAACATATCTAGGTGCAATCACACTCTACTTGAAGAATAAACAACTTGACTAAGATCTTGGTGAACTGGAAGAAGAAGAAGAAGAAGAAGAAGAAGAAGAAGAAGAAGAAGAAGA